AAAATATATATATATATATATATATATAAAATATAACAGACATTCAGAAATCTAATCTGCCAAACTCAGAAACTTCATCAAGTTATAATTAATAAAGATCACACATACAATGATCAAAATATGAAATAAAGGGCTGAATTTAGTCATTCAGACTGACAGTAAGCTTTCGTGCTGAAGTTCAACTGACTTTTGTCATTTGATCAAACATACAGTATGCTTTACAGTTTTACAATGTTTTACACTGACAAAGCCACAAACATCACAGCATTCATCAGACCTATTGATAATATTCACTGGTTGTGAATGCGCTTGCGCGTGCCTCAAAAGAGGGCTTACAATGACTTACAAAGATACATATCAGCTACAAGTGTATGCACTACTCGCTTTATGCAAGCACTATATAGGATAAATCACTATACGGGATTTACCCTATTATTCTTTATCGACACGAATTGATAGGTGAAACAACAGACAGCCACCCACAAATAGTCTATAAACAAAGCATCAAGCTGTCTTTGAGTTCACATGAACAACGGTTAAAGTTACTCGTCGTCAGGCTACAGAAGAATACCATAATTCCTCCGTATGTGTGAAACAGGCGTATCGAGAGTCACGCAGACCTATAACAATCCAGCCACAACACTTAATTGCGAATAACATGCCTTACCTTATAACACAGAATCAACCACAGAGTCCAGCGTTTATATTTTTTCTACGGATCTTTGAGTTAACATGTACTAAACATGAGTGGAATTTGCACCGCAGCGCCCCCACACCTCGATGCTCATGACAAGAATAGCATGTATAGTTATCTTTATTGAAGTGAATTAGGTTTAAATCGCCGTCATGCATGAATGAATGATATTTTTGCAATTTTACACATAATAATCCACGATGATCACATTACACAAAACTGAAATTGCACGTCAAAATAACACATTGTCAATATTTTTTGAGACCCCCCAAAATTTCACAAATCCCGTTTTCAGGGGAGCCCATGTCTTATTAAGGGGAGCCGAGCTCCCCCTAGCTCCCCCGTAGTTCGCACCCTGGTTTTATTTGATCAAGGGTCAGCAGCTCCAACACTAGAGTCCTTTATAAGGGAAATGACTGTATAGTGACACTAGAGAGCGCCATTACTGTATAATTACACATTAAAGTGCGTGTGTATTTGGAGTTTCCAGATTCACATCTGTGTTCTTTAAGTTCTAGATTGACTGCAGTGTGAATGGTCATGAAGTAAAGAGCCTGAAGTCTCAGTATCTGTCATCACTGTGAGGAAATACTGAGTGTTGTGAGAGTTATAACATCAGAACCTAATGTTGCACTGGAAGGTTTTACTTTTCACTTGTTTAAAGGGGTGGAAAAAATACGTCAGTGCCAAAAGACTTAGTAGGACGAAATAATTTCTTATATATATTAAGTTTGGACAAACTGACTTAATATGTGTTATTAATGATCTTCAAAATCTTACATGTTTGCACATTAGTTTCATAGACAAATAAACTGTGCCTGCATATGAATTTCTTTTCAAAACCAAATTTAACAATCTGCAGAAAAAGAAATATGCTCCCAAAGAAATAGGTAACAACTGTTTAGAGTCGTCTCAAGCGTGCTGGGAGAAAACACTCTCTTTGAGAGCCACAAACGCAAAAATATAACCTTATGAAACAAAAACTCAGAGGCTTTTCAGAAAAGGAGAGCAAAGAGGAAAACATTATATTACTAGAGAGAAAAGACAGAAGCGTTCAGAGAAACATTGGCATCGGCTGCTCTCATTGGTGCAGGAGGAGGAGTGGGCGGAGTCTAGAGCAATCAGCCAATGAGAGCGTGATTAGATCCCACACTGCATCACATAATGCACTCTCTGTGGACAAAACAGAATATTTACAGGTATTCATATTGTACATACTGCATATTTTGTCCTCCAGATTGTTATTTTTAACACATTGCCTGATGAAAAATATTCTCAATAACATGTTTTACTACGGACTGCATTGCTATTAGATCTTTTTTGCAGAAATATTCAGAAAATGTTGATAAAACTTTACATTTTTGCCTCAAACTTGCCTCTGATATGACCTATTATTATGATACTGATTTATTAGATTTATCGAGCATTATAATGTGATCATGTACATGTCAGAGCGACTGAAACAACAGTGAACCTCATTTACAAAGCAAATTTGCATCTTCAGGATGTTAGTGAAGGCCAAACACCGTTGGTTTCAGATATCTGCATGGTTATTTGAAACAGCATTTCAAGGTACGTAATTTAAAAACACATCAAATCACTCGGAATTCTCATGTAATTCTGAATTATTCTGAACTTGAACTTTCAGTGGCTCCCGTAAACATCTGTTCACTTTAAACATCTATCAAACGTGTGAATGTCATTCATTAGGTGACAAAATAACCCAGCAAGTGTCATTTATTGTAAAGAAAGATACACAAACACATTGCACTTTGTTCTTTCAGTTGATTATTTTACATTTTGACATTTCAAAATTGAATATTGTAAATATTATACCCAAAATGATTTAAAATATAAAAGTTTCAGTGACATCTTATAATGGTTGCAACTGTAATTAAATACAAATATGCATTTGCTATGTTTATATAGCTCTCTGTGAGCAAAGGTGAGTTGATAAACTGTACCTGCATGTAACAACATACTGAAGTTCTCAGTTAAAGCCCGAATAAATATGATTTGCATATTTGCAAATTAACTCTATGTCAGAGTCCTGCGGCTCATAATCAAACAGCTTCATATGTGGACGCATCAAACTCTCTCAACTCTTGGACTGTGGACTTTAGCTCAAGAATGTAATAAGAAAATGATTTAGGGTTTAAGATGCATTTCCAATGCCTGTAGAAAACAAAACTAACATGTGTCTCATACAGGTCATATTCTCTGGGAATTATGTCTCGACAAAAGTATCATTTGCTGTGGCTGATGATCGTCTGTTGTGTTACACGCCAGATAAGTATGTTGCTTTAAAAATGCATTTATCATGCCAATGAATATGTTATTTGGTGCACAGAGCCTTATAACATTGTTTTTCTTTGTGCAGCCTGCTCAAAAATGATGATAATTGGCGAGACTTTGACAGATTCATGTTTCTGGAGCTTCAACAGATCAACCTGTCCAGGTAGATGTGAAATGCAGGTTTCTGGGAATAATTTACTTGTTTTTCTCTTTTTCTGCCCCACTTTAGAACGAATGAGGCTTCTACTTTAATTTTTATGTGAATAAAAGGTTTCTGTGAATAGTCTGTATATTTATTTTCTGATAGTGCTCATGACAACTGATAACTTCATTGAGTTTATGTTTTTTCTCCAGCTATAAACCTGACATGTCCACCAGCATATGAAATACTGATAGGAGATTTTTGCATAGTGAATGTCAAACAAAACACCTCTTCCCCAGGTAACAGTGTTATTTTAGTATTATTCAATTTTGATTATAATCTTTAATAATATTTTAATTAGCTTTTATTTTTATATTTTCAGTTTTCAGTTTAATTTTAGTATAAGTTTTAGTTTTTTTTTTTTTTTTTTTTTTTTTATTTTTTTTTTTTTTCTTTTTGTGTATATTCCAAATGATCAGAAAAGAGGAAACCAACAATAAAACTCTCGGTCTCTTTTTCTGTTGTCAAATGAACTTATACCAACTTATATAACAATATTTTGAGTTCTTTCTGTCAATTAAACCAATCTCTTTCTTTGTTTTTTGTTTTTTTTTTGGCTATAATTTATTTCTATTTCAGTTTTAGTAATTTTACTTAAACAACAATTAGACTTAAAATGTTCTCTCATGTTTCCAGGACATTGCAAAACATCAACCGGCAAAACATGCAGTTTCAACATAACAAACAATGCGGGGAAATATGAAGTAAGAATGAATGAGGCGGCTAAAAACATTACAATGTGGTTTTTCCCAAATCCATCTAAATGCCTTCCATCAGAAGTCCTGAATTCAACGGGTATGTGATAGACGCAGTGTAACACACACACAGATCCACATAATTACAGACGTACTTTCCACACATTCGTGTTTGAATGCGTGATCTTTGCTGTCAGTGACGATGACGTCACCGCTGGTTAGATTCTGAATTCTAAACATTCCATCAATCGATGCAAAGCAAAAACAGAAAGTAGGTAAGAGTGAAAGTAATCAAACTATTTAAATGGGGTCTGTGTGTTCGTTGTTCTGTAAGCTCTGTAATGAGTTCCTGAAGAAGAGCAGATCATGTTGACAATTTTAAATTAGGTATATTTAGTGAGTGCTGTACAAATTTAATTTCTTTCATTCTGCAGGATCCACATCACATCATATTGTGACTTGTCAGACACAGCAAAGCAACTCCGACATCAACACCAACAAGACTACCACAATCACTAACAACCCTATCACCGTCATGACTGAATCTACCATCACTACTACCAGCCCTATCACCACCACCACCGAATCGACCATCACCACCCCTACTAGCAACTCTACCACCACTGGATTTACCATCACTACTACCAGCCCTATCACCACCACCAACGAATCGACCATCACCACCCCTACTAGCAACTCTACCACCACTGGATTTACCATCACTACTACCAGCCCTATCACCACCACCAACGAATCGACCATCACCACCCCTACTAGCAACTCTACCACCACTGGATTTACCATCACTACTACCAGCCCTATCACCACCACCAACGAATCGACCATCACCACCCCTACTAGCAACTCTACCACCACTGAATCTACCATCACTACTACCAGCCCTATCACCACCACCACCGAATCGACCATCACCACCCCTACTAGTAACTCTACCACCACTGAATCTACCATCACTACTACCAGCCCTATCACCACCACCACCGAATCGACCATCACCACCCCTACTAGTAACTCTACCACCACTGAATCTACCATCACTACTACCAGCCCTATCACCACCACCACCGAATCGACCATCACCACCCCTACTAGCAACTCTACCACCACCGAATCGACTGTCACCATCACTACTTCCAGCCCTTTCACCATCATCACCGAATCGACCATCACCATCACTACTAACAACTCTGCCGCCACCGAATCGACCATCACCATGACTAAATATACCACTATCACCAGTACTAACAACCCTACCAATAGCTCTACCACACCCACCACCACCTACAATGCCAATTGTCCAGATCCATACAAAGGTAAGATTTCACCCTCTTCTATAATCCTATTGGTTGTCATTTCAGCCAGATACATTGCATTCTGATTCCCTGTAAAGATAGCTAGAAGCATAGAAATAGCATAAAAATTAAAGTAGAAGCCTCATTCCTTCTAAAGTGTGGGCAGAGGCATCGGTTGGGCATGGCAGGGTGTGGCGGCTGTCTGGTCAGGTCAATGAAAACGAATAGATTTTTATTGCAGAATTTACAGAGTATATTACTACGTGTAACATATAATTTGCAATTGTTTAAAAAAAAGAGAAAAACAAATAAATTAAAGACATCTGGTGGTTAATGTCGTGTAACGTGACTTTACAAAGTGATTTTGCAGCACTGTAGCCAATCACAGGCATCTCGGTTGTGAGAATCCTTTCAGTATCTCTCTGAATGAGTTTCTTTAGCATAAATTTACTGTTTTACATGCATGCAAATCCTCTCATTATAACAAACAAAGCGGAGACACAATGTAAATAAAAGATTCATTGTGATGTTTAGTTAGATTCATTGATCTGACTGGAGTTTTCACACTCAGTGAATTTGCACTTAACTGACTGACAGCTTCAGTTATTATAAAAGAAGTGCTCTTCACTCGCTGTCAGTGTAATTTCATTCGCAATTTGAGTTTGAACTTGAATTTCAAGTTTTTGTTTTTCGTGATACTTTGTGACCTTTCCTACAAATATGTACTTCACACTTCAGTACAAAAAGTGACAAAAAGACAATTAATGACAATTAAATGACAATAATTTTTTTTAAAATTGTTATAATAGTGATTTGATAAACTAAACTAAAAAATAAATTCATATAAAATGGCTATAAGCCAATAAGTGCTCCTCTGCAGCCATCTACTGGTTATAGTGGTAATTTCATGTCCTTTTTTCTTAAAAAAATTTATTTTAAAATAAGTGTTAGTTCCCTTTCAGGAACTCGAGCTGCGCCGAAAAACAATGTGGGAACGTCTTCAGTGTGACCACGCTCTGATCACGTGTAAAATCAGTCCAAAGGATGGGCGAGACGTCACGGGCGGGGTGACGTAGTGACCAGGATGCTTAAAAGCACGTGCGGTGGAACCGGCGTCAGCTTTTCTTCACACTTCAGTACAAAAAGTGACAAAAAGACAATTAATGACAATTAAATGACAATAATTTTTTTTAAAATTGTTATAATAGTGATTTGATAAACTAAACTAAAAAATAAATTCATATAAAATGGCTATAAGCCAATAAGTGCTCCTCTGCAGCCATCTACTGGTTATAGTGGTAATTTCATGTCCTTTTTTCTTTAAAAAATTTATTTTAAAATAAGTGTTAGTTCCCTTTCAGGAACTCGAGCTGCGCCGAAAAACAATGTGGGAACGCCTTCAGTGTGACCACGCTCTGATCACGTGTAAAATCAGTCCAAAGGATGGGCGAGACGTCACGGGCGGGGTGACGTAGTGACCAGGATGCACGTGCGGTGGAACCGGCGTCAGCTTTTTATCATTCAGCAAGCGCTCTGTGTGTGTGTCAGTCGCTATTTCTTGTGAGTCTTATTTAGTGTTGTTTGTCCACTTTTAAGCTCCATTATGTCAAAGCTTCAGCCAAAAAGAAGCATTTGGGCGAGAGCAGGCAGCGTTCAGGCTGTGTGTTCCTCCCTGCCCGTGCTATATTTCAGGTGGGGACACACACAGTTTGTGTGTTGTCTGCTTGGGAGTGAAGCACGCAGAGTCAGCTCTCGAGGGAGCTGACTGCCCGCATTGCGAGCGTTTGTTACTGCGTCTGCATCGCTTTCAGAAGGCTCTGTTTGAGGAGGGAGCCTTCACCAGCGTTTCTCACGGTGCCGGCCCCGCTTTCGCCGAGGCGGAGCGGTGGCTGCGCTCGTGGAGTTCGCATATGGATCTGATGGAGGGAATGGAGACGGGCGAGTCCCTATCTTCTTCCTCACCACCAGATCCAGCGCCCGCTCTCTGGGATCGGAAGCCAGTGCTGCAGTTCTTCCCCCCGGGGAGAGGGAGCGACGCTCCGCCTGTCTTCCTCCGAGGAGGTTGATATGGAGGGCGTCGATGAGCTCGCCAGTTGCACAAGCACCAGTTGCACAAGCATATTATGTCTAATATTATAATGAGCAGCATTATTGGGGAGCGGAGCTCACGCAGTCAGCTCTCAAGGGGGCTGATTGTGCTTTCCCGCTGCAAAACGCTCCGCTCTTGCGGGCACGCTCTGAGGAGTGTGTCCGTGCCTGTGATCTTGCGGTTCTGGTCCCGCTGCTGCTGAGGCACGCCGGCGATTGAGATCGCGGGTATCGCTCATGATCTGGCGGACGGGTTGGAGACGGGTTCTCCCTTTCTCCACCCGCATTCCCTAGATCTAGCGCTCTCTCTCGGGATTCGGAAGCCCACGCTGCGGTTTCTTCCCCCTCTGAGTGAGAGCTCGGCTGCTGCAGCTATCTTTCTCCGAGGATATTGATATTGTTTGTGTAATCGAGTGGCTCGCACGCTGCTGGCGTGCAGTACATCATTCTAAAACGAAAAGGTTTTTTATGTGAATTTTATCACACCAGACTGTGTTTACTTGTCTGGTTGTTTGGCTGCATTTAATTCTGAGGAATTAAATGAAGTATTTCATCTGACTATGAGAAGTCAGATATACAGGAGCTCTTGGGATAAAAATTTCTCGAGTGAGAGCACATGTTTCCTCTCTTCCTCCGAGGAGGTTGAGGTGGTCAGCAGGGGCTGCTGGGCGGGAGCAGTCCCAACCTACCGTGTTCCAGCTCTTCATTCAGGGAGCGTCACTTCTCATACTCCCCAGAATTTAGAGTCAGGCCGAAGGATTCTAGTGGAAGGTGGACCGTCATTCTTGCTGGATAGTCTTCGGCTAAAATGTCCTGACGCCCAGGACTTCTGAGGGCCGGCCCCCTCTGGGGAAGAGCAGTGTACACCTCATTATACGGTGCCCATCTCTCCTCAGTGCCCTCAGGGGATCGATCTGCCAACCCTGCCACTCACGGTGCTTCAGGGCACAGCAGTCTTCGGCGAGCGCTTCTCTCAGTCACCGCCCGGGAACGTAGCGGTACTAAGAGACTCGCTACCTCTTCAGAGGTTTCTAGAGTAGCTAGTTCGGCCTTCCCCTGCTGGTTCGCCACTTCAGGGCACTGACCTAGCCGCTCTGATTACACCAGAGGTCAGACTCGAGAGACTGATTCCCTTAGTAGACCTTTCTTTGGCAGCGTGGGAACTTCTGCCAAATGTGTCTCAATGGGTCCTGCACACTGTAGAAAGAGGCTACCGAATCCAGTTCGGTTCTCCTCTGCCTCGTTTCAACGGGGTCATTCCGATTCTGGTGGGCCCGAGCAGGCTCTGGTAATGGAACAAGTAAACACTCTCTTGAGGAAGGAGGCCATCGAGGTGGTCCCTCCTCTCGACATAGAGTCCGGGTTCTACAACTGGTACTTCATCATTCCAAAGAAGTATGGAAGTTCCTGAGGTTTGCTTTTGGGGGCAAAAGCTTACCGGGTTCTTCCGTTTGGCCTTTCACTCTCACCCCACACTTTCACGAAGTGTGTGGATGCTGCTCTGGCTCCTCTGTGACTCCAGGGCATCCTCACTGGTTGAGGAGCGGTCATAAGTGGCCGCTTAGCCCGCGGTCTGTGGAGCGTTCGCCATCTCACGTGGCACATCAACTGTCTGGAGATGCTGGCCGTGTTTCTAGCGTTGAAACACTTTCTCCCAGACCTAAGAGATCGCCATGTGTTGGTGCGCACCGACAACACAGTGGTGGTCTCTTATATCAACCACCAAGGAGGTCTGCGTTCGCGCCCCTTGTACAAGCTGGCGCACCAGATCCTTGTGTGAGCCCAAGGGAAGCTCCTTTCTCTAAGAGTGGTTTACATATCTGAGCATCTCAATATGGGAGCAGACATCCTGTCGAGGCAGGGGCCGAGGCCCGGGGAGTGGAGGTGGTGAAGCAGATATGGAGAATTTTTCGCCAGGCTCAGGTGGACCTGTTTGCGACTCAGACGACATCACACTGTCCCCTCTGGTTCTCTCTGACTCATCCAGCTCCTCTCGGACTGGACGCTATGGTGCAGACTTGGCCGAGGCTTCGTCTGTATGCTTTTCCCCCGATCGCTCTGCTCCCGGGAGTT